TTGTGTCAGGGAGCTGTAAGTATATGTTCCGCACAACAAATATATCTCAAGACTGAGGTAGGCCACGACGTGCGCGAGAAGGGGACCAAATATTCTCCAAATATCTCGCTGAGATATTTGTATGGTATTTTTCGATTACGCGTGGCGCTTCTCAACTGGAGAAATCTGCTCAAATATTTCATGAGGCTCTGAAATATTTGGACGGATGACACGATCATGTTCCTCCGTACATAGCGCTATGTAGCGCTAAGGCTAAATATTTGACAAATATTTGGTGGAGGGGAGTACCCTCCTCCCCTCGCTCCTACATACGTCCCAAATATTTGGGATTCGTCTCGAATATCCGGGGGGGACATCCCTCCAACCGTCTCAAATATTTGGAGGGGCCACTATAACATTTGGGCCAAATAATTCGCGTTTTACTATAACTATAAGGATTGAAAAATTTATCTAACTGATATCCCTGATTGTCGAGAGGTATGGTTCTAGAAGGGAGACTTGTCAGCCACACGCCTTCAAAGAACGTAGTTGAGGCAGAAAGAGATCATACCGACATAGGTTACCTCTCTGTGGCACTGTAGGCAGCGACAAAGCACGCCACAACAGTCCACAGCGCATGCATGGCAGGCAGTGTATGGTTGCGCCAGATCCAAGCAGCGGTTGCACATCGATAACGATGGCAAAAGATCCAGGTGAGCTGCAAGCTTACAGATCGCAGCACGCAATGAGCGGCACAGATTCTGCAGCGTCGAGCAGGGCTCATAACCTGTTGAACCCAGGGAGCGAAAGCCTCTCCCACGGGTGGCAACGACAGCGGATAGCCTGCAACTCACCTAGAAGGGTTGGTTGATTGTAAGAGGCTTGTAAGAGCGATGAGAGGAGACGTTCGAGTGAACTGAACTGTAGATTGGGGGTACAGAGGTCCCCTATATATACTACTGTACATCTGTGGCTACGTAGTACTATACAGTACATTCCCAGGATGCACAGTCATGCAGAGAAGCAGTGCGTACACAGCAAAGCTGTGTGTGTACCACATGAGTAGTACAGCCTCGGTTATTGCAGTAACCGGCTGTGCCGTTCCATATCTTGTGACGGCTGTATTAGGCAAGCTGTGTAAACCAGCGCCTGTTCAACAATATTGATAGCACGTGAATTGCGATACGATTTAGAGCTGGAATGGGAAGATCAGGATGATTAAAGGAGCGCCACACGTTAGCAGGATTGGGATCTGTATTCTGAATAGACGGTCAATTGATGATGGACTATGAATGGAACATATGAAAGCATACACGATCGCGAGCCTGGCTACTGATAGCATCCATTGTCATATGCAAAGACTCGAAGTTGCCAGTGTTGTCGAAGTATTCTTGTATCTCTGTAAAGAGTGACCCTGGTACAGGCTCGTCTGGGTAGAAGCGCCTCCAAAGACGACTCAGAATGACATGGAATGCCGCTTCGGTGAAGAGCTGCATGTTGGGTTGGAAGGGACGCATCTTAAGCCACGGGTTCAATACCACTGCAGCAATAAATACGTCCTGATCGGCCTTGGCCCAGCGCCTCTCTAGGCTTTGGCAGACAGCGATGCGGAAGGGGTGGTCCTCGAGGTCTGTCAACAATGTGAAGAAGTTGTAGACAAATCCAAAGGTGAGAAGGACTTGGTCAAGTCGGCAGTCGTTAGCCTGGGTGATATTTGCAGCTATAGCGAGCGGTTCAAGGTGCCTTTTGACACTAACCAAAGTTCAGATCGGAAAATTCATCACTACTTGATACACCGTCCAAATACATCACTTGCCGGCTGAGATGGTGCCACAGCAGAGGCTTCTTCAACTCGTCAACCATCTCTCTTGTTCTGGCATGACTCTCTGTAGTGCCTGACTCGAAGAGGCGTCGATCCTCAACAAAAACCATAAGAGCGGTGCGTAGTTGGAGAAGTCGCCGATAGGCAAAATAGATTGAAGTCCAGCGAGTGAGAACACCCCGGATTACTGATAGAGGGGAGTTACCATGGTGATGAGTCGGTAGGTTGAGTTGGACATCCCGCAGGATGGCGAGGAGGTACGGACGACCTCTCAGCCATCGGATGATTTCGTCTGCAATCTTCGTCCAGCTAAGGATGCTAGCATTGGCACTCTTGAAGTAGTCATGGACGACTAGTTCAATCTATCAAATCATGCACATGAGTATATATTTCACAAGTGTGGAGCGTAGCTTGCCTGATGAGCATAGCAGTCAGGTGCGATGAGGTGCAGGAGCTCTTTCACAATCTCGACACGGGCTTTACGTGACTCTCCGCTGCAGTCTGATGTGACTGCAATGACGATGACACGCCACTCCTCTCGCAAAAGCTGTAGAACCTCTCAAAGCATCTTTAAGAGGTTTTTGGCTGTCTTTGGTTCGTTAGACGTGTCATAAGTGCGGATGGTGTAGACCCGTGTCTCCTATATAACTGGTGTGAACATCTCAAGTATGTACAGCAACAATATCAATCAACACCTTCTTGTCTGGTACAGTAAGCATGAACGCAACAATATGGTGCCGGTTTTTCGGATTGAAACCGTCACACTGTACTGTCCCAAGCTTCTGACGGCATTCGGTCCGAGCCTGTGTACGGTAGACTTCAACCTCGGCAGGGATGATGCGTGATGTGAGGACCTTGCGAGTAGGATTGATGACACCCATAGGGAGGAAGTTGTCACAGAAGCTTAGCCACTGAGGGCTTTCCGTCCAGGATAGAGACCAACTCCCTGCAGCAGTGAGACGAGCAATGTGAGACTCATAGAGTGCTTGACGGGCATCATCCCATCGTAGCTTGGCTAGCTCGGATTGAGGCACTGGTGTGCCAAGTAGAGAGGAACTAGTGGTGCGGCGGAGTCGCTTTGAGGCAGGGGAATCGACAGACATGTGGGGGCTCTCGTGACGCTTGAAGAGAGAGGACAGGTTTGGATTTTGACTGCCAGAGGGGCTTGGTTGCGTAGAGAACGTATACAGAAGCTGCGGAGATTGGGAGTATGAAGCTGAAGATGTTGTCGGAGTATCGGGAGGTGGAAGAGCCGGGATTGAAATCGGAGTAAGGGAGGGAGCGGACGGGAGCGTTGATGCTGCTGGTGGAGTCGTACCCATTGCAAGAGAAGGCCCGGACTGCACTGCGCCAGGTGCAAGTGGAAAAGGAATGGGTTGAAGGGTGACGTACGGACCAGGTGGTTGTGCACGAGCCTTCCCCTTCTCGCGGCGGGGAGACAGGTGGACCCTCTCGTGCTCCTCCCTTGCTTGCTGCCTGATGTGGTCCGGAGTCAAGCTGCAGTCTCGCAGATGGACCAGCATAGCAGTGGTTGTTGCACTGATCCAACAATTCGCAGCGGTGCTCGGTAAGTCCCATACTAAACAACATATGTTAGCAAGTCTTGAAAACTAGATAGGACAGAGATTTTACTCACAGGTGCGTTCGACAAGAGCAGTATCACGTACTGGCAGTCCGAGGAGAGAATCCTCACGCTGTTCATTTGCAACACGGCGCTGGAAGCAAGGTTTGCACCAAACCTTAACCTTATCACCGTAGAGAGCCTTCGCGTCGTTCTCGATGTAGCCTGGGTGGTCATAGAAGTGCGTCCAGTACCAGCCTCGCCGGCTGAGGAATGCTGAGTTAGCGGTCTGACGAGCCTCAGTATATGCAGCCATTATGGAGAGAGGCAAAAGATGAACATTGGCTACAATATCTACACAGGTACATGAAGGAGCAAGCAAGCTAAGACATATCGATGAAACGAGTGCGAGACTTGCTGCAATATGAGAGAGACGTCCCAATTTGTCAATTGGATGCGTGCGCGATAGGGCATCCTCCAATTATATCACGTCCACAGGCGTCAGAGTCAGGTGATGGTTCTGCGGGAAAGTTAACGTCGACTTTTGTGCACAAGATGACATCGTCATCCGTTGACAAGTCGACGATAGTCGACGTCGACCGGATGTCTACCGGCACATCGCTGGCGCGCGCAATGTCGGGATGGGGAGTACAGCGCAGAAGGGAGACGCGCCTGCAGTAGATCCGAGCAGGAAGGCAGCATGCAGTTTCTCAAGTGGGCGATGTCATAACCTGTTTTGTGGATGTCGAAGGTGTCCCTCTTGCATGTCGTGGGTCCGTGATGGAAGACGTCCGGGTCTGTTTGCTGTGAGTGGTGCAGTACACAGGAGATGCAAGGCAAGGTGGATGTCGATGAGGAGCGACGGTCACTTGACAGGTCAGGTCACAGGGACGGATCGATGACTGGCAGCTGCTTTTCNCTTCAGCCCTTGTCCTCTGCCTG